TAGCTAAAATTAGCAATAAGGTAGCTAAAATTAGCACAAGGACGTGAAAAAGAGCAGAACCAGAACAAATTGGGTAAGGTGCTGTAAAAATTTAAAAACATTTTAAAGGATTTTAAGGATGTTGAAAACAGCTCCATTCATTTTCAATGGCAAAAAAGTGGCTAAAAAATGAAATAGCTGAAAAAGTATAAATAGCTGAAATACCAAACGTCATAGCAGCCCTCACATGAATGAGCTMAACGTTTTGATATATTAATTGTTGAAATAGCACAGAAATTGTTTGAGTTAGGTGCTGAAAAACGTACGGAAGAAAAAAATGTTCAAGAGTGTGAAGCTGTGAAGCGTTCACACAACTACCTGCTGAACACGAGCTAAAAGCTAAAAACAAAAACTGACTTTAAAAATAAGCAAGAAAACAATGTAAAATAAATAAAACCCACAGAAACAATAAAAACACGTCTCTTACAGGCTGAACTGCAGCTCTGCTCGCTGTGTTGTTTCTGTTTTTAGCTTTTTGAGCTCAAAAATCAGATCCTGAGGAGTCGCAGACCAAAAATAGAACAACAAAAACACGACTCAAAATCAAAGCTGACGTTTCTGTGTGTGGGCAACAGAACTACAGAGAACTGTTTCACATTGTATGCTTAAAAAGTGCTCAATCAGGACGACTGAACACTTCATCAGCTTCTCTACGTTGTGTCAAACAAGCCCCGCCCACTCACCTTCCCCTCATAGATGATGAGCAGCGAGGACGAGTAGAAGCGGTAGGACGCCTGCCTCTCCAGCACCGACTTCAGGCTGCGCAACTTGTTCAGGATGGGCTGAAAGAGGTCCCGCCTCAGGCCCTTCCCGTTGTGCAAGTACTGGTAGAGGGCCTGGCGGAAGCCTTCGGTTGACAGGCCGCGGCCGTAGTACTTGTTCCTGCACAGGTAGTGACCCGTGCTGAGCTGGTACACCTGTGGGGTGGGGGGACAGAGGTGGGTCTCATCTCAACCATCTGATACCTGCAAACTAAATACCATTGCCCTACCTGCATGCCACACACTCTGACTCCCAGTGTGGCCGAGGTGCTCTGCTCGCACTTCTTCATCTGCCGGGCCGCCTTCTCCTCCGAGGCGTCGTCGCCGTGCTGCCGGGTGCCCATCTTCAGGTCCAGGATGCAGGGGCAGGAGAAGTGGTGCACCACGTTCTCCAGCAGCAGGAACTCTGGGTGAAAGGCGGCGGTTAAGGGCCACTCCATCAGGTTCTGAGGGCGGCTGCAGCCGGTTCTGCCCAGCTGGAGCCGCTCTCTTTGAAGCCCCAGATCCAAACGTGAACTTTAACACGACGCCCTCAAACGACACTAAGCCTCCTCTCAGATCTACGTCCTGTGAACCGAGCTGTGCAAACAGGCGACTAATAACACAATAATCTCATGTCATCTGCTGTCATTTTACACAAATAAATAATAAATCTATTTATTTGATGTAATAGATATTTAAAGGGGCAATATTATGTGTTTCTCAGGCATATATTTAAATTCTATATCATAATAAACTAACTGTCACCTTCAGTTGTTATTAAAGAGATCCCAGATTAGTCGTAACATTAAAATTTATTTGATAAACATTTATTTTAACTGTAAAATAAAGACTGTAAAAATACTGTAGGATGTTTAGTTTTGTAATTTTTTTAAATATATTTTAA